TCAGGAGCAAACAGGAATGTATGTGTGTCTGTGTGTGAGAGAGGGAGAGAAGGAAAGGGAGGGAGGAAGGGAGAGAGAGACTATTGGCTGGGCCCTGCAGAAATATGATGTGTCTATCTGTCCACCAACAGAAATTTTTTTTGCATGCTTCACTCTACCTGTAGGTATCAAAGAATTTACCTTCCAAGTCTAGATTCATGTACAGTGGTCTTCCCACCCCTTCCTGACATGAATGTTTGGCAAGTTGTCTTTAACTTGTCTACTTTCTGGTGGTTTAGATTATGTTTCTTTTAAAACTGATTGGATTATATAAATCTTGGGTGCTTATTAAGCACTTGAGGCTGTATGGTAAACTCTGACTATATTTAAAAATATTTGATTTACTTATGTTAAAAAACTGATGAATTTAAAAAATCATATGGATCACCTTCCTGAGAATTCCTGTAAGTAATTACATGTTTTGGTTCCTGCCTAATTGGTAGTGGTAGAGAGTTCCACACAGCTTTTAATGAATTATTATCAAAACTATCCCATTTCTTAAAAATATATTTGTGTGCATGTATATTTTGTGAGTACTGCGGTAAGGAGAGAACCAGGGTTTGTTTCATATGTGCAATATGTAGTTTTGTTATGTCCAGTGATACAGTTATAACTGCAGCTCATCATTGCGGTGTTTATACCCTTACACACAACAACAACAACAAAGAGTAACAATACTGGCATTTAATAGGATCAACATGACCACAAGCCTAGGTATAGTTTTCTGGGAGTAAGTTCTACTGAACATGGTGATGTTTATATTTAATAGCATGGGCTCAAATAGTAAAAGACATTGAGCTTTTAAGATCTTTAACCAACTTTGACTTAGAAATGCAAACTATCTTCCCAAAAAGTGTCACCAGTGAAACTGCCTATCTGAAGTGGGATCTCCATCAAAAGAAAGTATCATTTCTGTTTATTTCCCTTGTTCTCTGACTTTCTTTGAACTAATCTGCCACAATCATTTAAAAAAAACTTTGAAGCCTTATCACCCCATCCACTTGCCAGAGGATTTTCAACTAATGACATCCTGTGCAGGTGCATTTACAGAGGACGTGACTGCTCCTGCTCTGAAAAAGAGAGGAGGAGCTGTGCTCCTCCTCTCCTACACCATCAGCTATGTCTTTGGAACTACTGAGGTACTTTCTGTGTAGACATGCTCCTTAATCTCAGACAACTCAGATTTGGCTGGCATTGCCCAATTCTCCCACATGTTCAAAAGCACCCCCAGCTCCCACCAAGGTACAGCTTCAAAGCAATTCAGAAACACTGAATTTGGATTTATCCTGTGCTCTAGCTATGAGCATAATGATATTAATAAAAACAAGCATACAACATAATGTGTCCCTAAGTGGGAAGGGAACTTTGGGAAAGGAGTGTGGATTATACTATATTTTATACTCTTAGGTATGAAACTATATTAGCAAATGAAACTGAACGTGTATATATGCTACATAGATAGGTACATGTTTTCAAGTGCCACTGGATGTGTTTCCTCCCACACTGGTGAACTGTAGGTTTTCTACTGCCCATTCACACATTTAAGATCAGCCTGGAGGGGATTTCCATTAGCAGCCAGGACTGTGGGGTGTGGGGTGAGATATCTTGAATGGAATGATGTCAAGCTTCTTTTACCAAACATTACTGGGGAGCTACTAGAAAGCTGAAGAGATACGGGCTATAGATAGCTCAATGGTAGAGCTCATGCTTTGCATGAAGAACAAAGTTTCAGTCCCTGACTTCTGCAGTTAAATAGTCAATTGGCAAGTGATGGGGGAAACTGGTACCTGAAACCAAGGGCATGGATAGCTGGTAGCAATCAGAGTAGAGAAAATACTAGGCTAGATGGGCCAGTGGTCTGACTTTTATATAGCAATTTCATAGGTCTTAATATAGAATAAACTAGACCAAAGATACCTTGATGTTAAAGTGTCTGCAACATGTGTCTCTCTTACAATGAGGGGTGTTTGCACATCAGCATTGTTAACACAGTTCCACAACATTCACAAACTTGATATTAGGAGATTGTATAGTCCAAGACTCACATTTTGTAGTTTAGTTTGAAAATGAAATTTTAACAGTCAACACTCAGGATGTGAAGTTTATCTCAAAATGAAGAACAGCACTCCAGCAAAAGAAAGTTGAGTTTCATTTCCCCTTCACAGACTTTAATCTATCTTGAGTGTGGGTGGAGACCATCTGGCCCTTCACATGTTGATGGACTACAACTCCTATCAGTCCTAGCTAACATAACAAGGGATGATGGGGGTTATCATCAAACAGTACCTGGAGGACCACATATCCCCCATCCATGACCTAGATGGTAAGATGGCATCTCATGGCATTTAGGTATATGTTTTGACACATGTGTGATTTCTCTGGAAGCTAGGAATATTATGAAAATAAAACAATTGGTTCCATTTTCTCTTTTTAACTATCTTTGCAGTAGGGGAAGTAGGACTTGGGGGGCATCTAGGAACAAGTTGTATTTTGTAGAAAAATGCTTGGGACTCATTCAAATGATTTTATACTTCTTGAGCTCTAAAAGTACACATAATCCAAGACACCTCAATTGCTAAAAGAAACATGAAAACAAGATATTTGTCTAAGGACATCACTAAATGATTACAATACTTTGAAACCATCCTTAATGTTGAAATGTATACACAGAACCCAAGACACTCTGATGACCAGGAAAGTCTGAAGGTGGGGTTACACCGAATGGCCAATACAGCAAAGATCAATGCATCTGAAAGTTCAGCATTCCAGCTCAGAGTAAAACATGATGGACTGTGGAAAGTTCCATTCCTTCCTCAGGTTTGGGTTTAGGAAAGACGGAACTTCTAATTGTAGCATGGAACACATGCTTGTGTGCAGATAAGAAAAAGCAAGCTTAAGCTATCCATCCCAAAACATCTATGTGGGTTTTGATCATGGAAGCATCATAATTGTTCAGGTAATTGTTACTTGCACAATAAACAGTTAAAAATTGGTATCCCCCCAAAAAAGAATCCGTTAAACTAAATGCTAATAAATCCTAATGGTGATGCATTAGTTATCTTCATCTTCCAAAATGTGGGACATGAAAATAGCTTAAGAGTGACTGGCACTCAGGGCCAGTCCAAGCAATTTTGCTGCCAGAGGCAATACAGGAAATGATGTCCCCACCCATTTAGGTAAAGGTGGATCATACCCAAACCCAGCCAGGTTATTTTGGCACATAAGGCAGAAAGATCTGGCAAGTGCCTTTACCTAACCCTGGCAGCAAACATTCAGAAAAACAAGTTTTAAAAATTGCTACCTTTTCATGACATCCAAAATTTGCTGCATGAGGTGACCACATCATTCTGTCTAATGTTGTAATCAGTCCTGCTAATCCTCCATCATTAAGCAAGCAAAGGACAGACATGGTGGAACAGTAGGGTGAGTTTCGCTGTTACATGATTTACAAACCCACACATCACAGGAGAAGATTTGCAGCAGCAGGCATGAACATATCTGGGTTTACAAAAAGCAACAAACAGAATGTTTGGGGGAAAGGTGCTTACAGGAAGAGAGAGAAAATTAAGTCACTTTGCTCTATTATAGAAGAGCAAGGATGAGAATTGTGCAGTCGTTCCAGCATTCTTGGACGTTAACTCCTATAATTCCTGGCCACTGGCCAGGCTTACCTGGTGCTGCGGGAGCTGCAGCCCTACAACATCTGGTGGGCCACAGGCTCCCCACCCAATATAAAGACCCATCTGGAGTCTGAGAGCTGCTGAACAAATCCCACAGTTGCTAGTCTTGGCAATCTGGGAACCACTTGATAGTTTATGGCTTGCTTTTTTTGGCCTTTTTTATGGCTTAGGTTTTTTTTTTTTTTACAAACACTGAACCAAGAACTACTCCAATGGGAAGGGCAAACTTAAGAAAAACAACTAATATTTTATTTTCCACAAAAATCACAATTAAACAATTCACAGGTGACTTTGTTATTGGAGTACATTCTTGCCACTCAAGAGTAGTAGTGCTCCCTTTCCCCAAAGATCACAGAATCTCTTTGCTCTGCTGTACACAGCGCAGAACAATGTATCAGGACAGGCAAGTTGGAAGGCAGGATGGGTTTCACATATGTGCATGCATAAGCATTTTCCAAATTTGCATATGATAATTCCCCGCCTTACATATCACCCTATAGTTTTGTGCAATACAGTTGCTGGAAGTGCATGTAAACATATATTTTGTCCCTGCTCTTGCATGCTCACATTGTGACAGGACTGTACAATTTTTCTACAACCGAGAAAGTTCACAAAAATTCACTTCCCAAAGTTCACGACTCCTTTAACCTTTGAAACATCATCCCTTCCCAGTCACCTCTTACCCAGACACCCTAACAGCATTTCTGCTCATTCACTACTTTTGACGCTTATTCAAGTGGCCCAAGGGTTGAGGTCAACTGGAATTGCATATGAAACCCCTCTCCAACATCTTATGGGTGGGGAAGAACTGTAGATCAGTGGTACAGCACAAGCAACACATACAGGGCTTTCCATGTTCAATCCCTTACAATATAAAAACTATTTTTAAGGCTCAGGTATCTGTATCTAAGACTCAGGTATCTTAGATCTCTATTTGTCTAAGACCCTAAAGAGAGCATCTGCCACTCAGAATAAACATGGTGGGCTAGATGGACAAATAATTTGACCTGGTGTAAGGCAGCTTCTGGTGTGTTTTACATTCTTACATTCTTCAGCCTTCCCCAGAACTGGAATCCTGTGGTCAGTAGCTTTAGCAGGGACTGCTCCCCTACTTTGGTTGCAAACTAGGGGCAAATTCATTCAGTAAAGTCAGAAAGCAAGCAAAAGGTCAAAAATACATATTATTTCCAGCCTAGAAAAAGTGCAGCTCAAAAGCAGGGTCTCATTGGGAATCCAGGGGTTAGCAGCACAATATATCAGTCCAGGAGGAAACAGGATACTGAAAGTTAAGCATCGGTGCCCTTCTTGCCTAGCACTGATGCTTATAAGTTGTAGGTTTCAGAGCCTCACTTGGGGCTGCAGCACATCTGAGGGTTTCTAGAAGGAACCCTCATTGTGAGGAGAACTCTGCTTGCAAGGAATCCTTTATTCCTAAGGAACCTCTCTTGATAAAAAGGCATTTCCTCTTACATGGGGTTCTCCTGGCCTGCCTCTTCAGACCCCACTGCTCTCAATGACTAACTGGGTTGCTCAGCCTTTGTCTCAGAGGTGCCCCCTTTTGAAGGAATGGACCTGCGGCCATCTGCTTCTGGGTACAAGCTTTTCCTCTGCAGAGGATTCTTCCAGCAAGGGAAGCTGCTCTGTTGAACTGGCAAAGGGAGGAGGCCAGGCTGCCAATACTGATGTGAGGCCTAGCCTGCCAGTCCCAAGGACTGTCCTTATGCACCCATATTCCCTTCCACACCCACACAGAGCCCTGAACACCCAATCTCCATGGTGGCTTGCTAGGCTGGGTCTCAGTCTCAGGCCTTAAGCAGTTCTTGATCGTTTATTTATTTATTTAAAACATTTCTATGCAACAAAGCCTTGGGACGGCTCACAACAAAAACAACATGTTTATCATACATAAACATGTCTACCCTAAAACACACAGAGACTCTGTCCAACTCTTGCACATTCATGGCATGTTAGAAACCACAACTATACTGAATTTGGTTCATGAGGCAGGTAGTGGAGAATAGAAAAGAAATTTAAGCCAGATGAATCTGTGCAAAACGGCAATTCATTTTCATGCCTATATAGTGAATAGTCATCATATTATTCACATTTGTAATGTCAGATTTTCATTTCTCAAAAAATATAATGGAGCAGTCTCTCTTGCATGCTGGGGACACACATACACTCTCCATATAGTGCACATTCAAATCTAATATACTTGTCAATTGTCCATGTCACATACTCCCATATTTCCACCCCCCGCTTGGCCTCATGTGCAACCATCGTGTTGCTTGTGCACCAGGCAAAATGGGCATGGGGAGGTCTTCCAGAAATGTTGCTTCTGCTGCTGACAACTCAGGTTGCTGGGGCCGAGTTGGTGCTATTCCTGGAAAGGTGGGAAGAAAAACCAGAATTTTTATCAGTGGGAAAGAGTCCACAACTTGAGCATGGTGGGTGAAAGTGCAGCAAAGCTAGCAAGGTTGAAACTTTCATGTTAAGTGAAGAATTGTAAAAAATGAAGGTCATGGCTTCAGGAAGACACACAGTCCTTTATTAACGAGGGAGAAAGCTGTAACCTCTCTCTCACTCTTTCAACTTCAGGCTTATTTTATATCTCTTGAAGTAGCACACAAAATGTGAATTTGTGCTGGGTTCTGCTTTCACACAGACTTCTTGCTGTGGCAACTGAGACTGGAAACCAGCATAAGCCAAGTCGTTGCCACAGCAAGAAGCCCCTACAAGTCACTACCTCCTTTATGACACACAGTGTTCTTCCACTTAAGGCAGGATGCGTCCCCTTTGGGCTGACCTCCAAATGAGGAAAAGTCACAACAGTCTTGCTTCCTCCTGACAAAATACACAAAACAGTCTCTGTCTCTTACCAAAGGCACCCCCAGTCGCTGTAAATTAGAGAAAAGGCAAATTGGAAAGGATCTCGGCACTCATCCAGTCCAACCCCACTGCTCAACACAGTATCTAAAATATAGGATGTGATTATAACAACCTTGACACATGGCCACTGAATCTCTTCCTGAATATCTTCAGTGAAGGAGTGCTCAGCACCTTCCAAGACATTTTTGTCCTCAGAAACTGTTCTGAGGTTTCTCCTAACATGTCACTGAAATCTGCTTCTCTGGGGTCTTGTTCTGTTCTCTGGAGCAACGGAGAATATGCTCAATCTTCTGCCCTTTGTACATTGGAAGATAACTCCTCTCTTAATCTTGATTTCTAGACTTGGCACCATCCTTGTCACACTCCTCTAGATATGCAGCAATTCAGCCCTCCCAGACCCATTGCCTTCCAGATGGGGGGGGGGGGGCTACACTTTCCATCATTTCCAGTTAGCCTATGGCCATGCTGGCTGCTGGCGATGAGAGATTCTCTTGCACATCAGGAAGGGACCAGATAGGAGAAGTCTGCTTCAGTTCGTCAGTGAAAAATATGGAATCCAGGACAGGCCGTGGTGCTCAAAATGTGGCCTGAGCAGTGCAGAACAGAATGGAATTGCAACTTTTTGTAGTCCCGACACTATGCTTCAGTTAATCAACCCTAATTTGAACTCTCTTGTTTGGTAGATGCATTGCATGGCTGGCTCATGTTCATATTATGACCAAGCAAGACACTCAAATCCTTTTCCTGTACACTGTTGCCAAGCCAGGTCTACCCCCTTCTAAACTTATTACTTTGATTCTGTATACTTAAATGCAGGACTTTACATTTCCTTTTGATTAATTTCATCTTGTTGGTTTTAGACGACTGTTCGAGCCTATCGGTTCTGAATTTTGATTGCCCCCCATGCTGCTAGCTGGCCCTTCCGGCACTGTGCCTTCTGCAGATCCGATCAGCATCCCTTCTATGACCTTATCCAAGACAGTTGTTTAAAATGCTGAAAATCATGGGGCCTAGGACAGTGCCCTGTGCAATACCACTTTAATCCTCCTTCCAGACTGGTGCAGAGACATGAATGAGCGTTTGCTTGGTTTGATTGTTCGACCAACTGCAAATGCATCTAACAGTAAGATGGATCAATATGCAATATTTGAGTTAGTAGGGTTCTCAAAATTCTTCAAAACTCCTTTCATGTGTTTCCAAACATGAATGCAACTTTTTCTCAGTCAGGAAAAATGCGCTTTAAAAATATGTATTTTAAAAAATGTGCATTCCCCCCCAGCCCCTTAGGCACAAGTGTTCATTTTCAAACATGAATGAAAGTTCTGGAAAATGCAAACAACTGTGTTCCTGCTCACATTCAGGGTTGTGAATGGAAGATTTCTGCATGCTTTGCAAACAGGAACCAAATTCTCAGTATCCATACCACCAGTAATAACTGTTGCAAGCATGTCTCTCCTTCGCTCTTTTCCTCTGGGGCAAATGCTGACTGAGTGCCCCAAAAGACAAGGACAGTGTGGGAAATGTGAATGGCCAGGGGAACCCCAGGAAAGTGCCAGCATTCATTGGCTCTGCCAAGGTCCTGGGAACTCAAAAGTTGCAGTGCTGATCCTGACTCAATCTGAAGTTAAAATATTTACTTGAAAGTTTGCTCACTACTTGGAGACAATTTTAGCTGGCCTTTAGAAAGATCTTACCTAACTACTGCTTTTGATTACCCTAGCCCTGCTGCCCATACAAACATACAAGGGAACAACACAGCTATGCTCTTATGCATAATTCTTATGCCTCCACATGTTCTCTTCTACACTGTTGCTTCATAAACACTGTTGCAAGTTGTCCCTGTCCCCCCCACAACAATGGAAAAAAAATAAGCTAAACTAGTTTAAAGGAACAAAGAACAGCCTAGTTGTCAAGCTTTGAGCAAACTGCCACAGCCAACATGGAACATAAAGTTACATTCCATGCTGTAGGAACTGCCTAGCTTTCTGTCAGTTTTCATTATATCACATTGCACATTACATCCTTCCTGCTAGGAGCTCAGCACAGTATATACAGAACAAGCCCTTTTTTATTCTTACAAGAACCCAGGAATGGTTGGCTCCACGCTGTTATAATATGGCAGATAAAGATAATATTCTGGCCTCACTCCTACCCCTTTCTCTTTCTTCTCTGGACGATTAGATATATCACCTCTATCACCTCAGTTCACTGATGAACATTGACCTCAGTTCTCCAATTATTTCCAGCTCCCAGTCTTTGGATACTGCTGGAAGCAAAGACTGAGATCTCAACAATTGCTGTACCTTTCATAAGGTGGAGGTGGCGCATCATGCATGCCTGAAGCCACCAATGCTTGCTCATAGGTGGGAAGTCCTGGGGCTGACTCTGGCTTTGGCTCCTCCCCAGAGATGCCAAGAGGCAATCTGTGTGGCAAATTCTCCTGACTCCTGTAGAGGGAAACAGAAAGAAGGATCAGGAAGGTTAGAGCAACCCACAAACTACTCCCATGGAAGGGCTGGTTGCTTCTTATCAAGCTTCAATAAACAAAGACAGCAATGACAATGACAACAAGTACCATGACAACCACCACCACCACCTTTTGGTTCAGGAGAGCTTTTCAAGTACTACTTAGAAACCACCTTGTCTCAACACAAAGGACTTCTCCACATTAAGTATGACCAACCAAGCCCAAAGAACTGGATCTTTCTTGACCACGACAACACTGTTAATTCCAATTCATCACTAATCCCTGCATTTTGACTGGGAAGAATTTTGGCACCCCAGGACCGAATGGTCCTCTTAGCACTAAAGGAAAGGATGTGCAACTTGTGATCTAAGTCTTAGAAACTACAAAAAGACCTGGGGGTGGGGGAGCTCTGCTTCCTTCCCCATCCTTTTTTTTCTCTTGTGTCATGTCTTTTTAGGTTGTATTCCTCTGGACAGGGACTGTCTTGTTTTTATTGGCTATACATAAACTGTACCAGGAATCTTTTGGTTTGAGAAAGTGCATAATCATGCTATAAATAAATAAATAAATAAATAAATAAATAAATAAATATTACGGGTGTGAAAGGACAGTATGCTCTGCATTATTACATAGACTCTGAGCCTAGGTCTGGCATGCTACTATTTAGCATTTGCCACCATGACCTGAAGCATCTGATACGACGTCATTTTAGAGCAGCCTTCCCCAACCTGGTGACCTTCAGAGGCTCTTGGAATGCAACTCCCAGAATCCCCATCCAGCAGGGTCATTTGACTGGCAATTCCAGGCGTTGCAGTCCAAACGTGTCTGGGAGGCACAAGGTTGGGGAAGGCTGTTCTAGAGCAGTATGAAAAATGCACATGGCGGCTTCCCAGCTACCCAACACTAGTGGTAAGAAAGGCTACACTTAGAGTGGGCATCAACAGGAGGAGCCCACCAGACCGCATTTTAGCTTGAGTCTCTTTAAACCAGGAGAAAACAAGATTTAGCTTACTAGTTGGCACAGTGAGTTAACTCTTGCTCTGTGGTAACAGAAGTAGATTTAACCAGTGCATTGCATTACTCTATGATGTCCTCCTTAAAGACATGTGGGAATTGATGCCACTCTATGTTGTGGTGTTCTGTCACCCTCTGAAGCTTGGAGACAGCTCCCTCTGGTGATGAGCAGCCCGCTTCACACTGCAGATGCCTGTGCAACCACACGGTGCAGTCGGGAGCTCTGGAAGGCTGTTCAAAAGACTTCCCTGCATGGCCACAGTAAGACGGCTCTTTGAGGTAGCTGTGGTGGCCTCCTGGTCCTGCCTCCAGCCTTCCCTGGACCTTGCCTTGTTTCCTGCTAGCTCTTGCTTCTGCCCGTGCCTTCAACCTGACCCCATCTTGCCAGGTACCTGTTCCCTGTTCTTCCCAACCTCACCTTGCCTGGCCCTGCTTCACCTGGACAGTATCTGACCTCAGCTTGCCTCTGGGTTTTGCCTTTGCCTCTGCTTCTGCCATGTCTTGTATCTGAGCTTTCTCGGTTCCTGACCTTGCCTTCCTTTCTGGACCTTGCTATGCTTTTAAGCTCCATTGGCCCAAGCCAGCATGGCCAGTAATCAGGAAAGCTAGGTGCTGTAGACCCAAATGTCTGGAAGGCAGCAGGTTTAGGAAAGCTGTGGTAGAGAGATATCAGATAAGGAATACCCATCCCATTAAAGAAGACTAGGATGGTAAGAAAATCGACAAAATGTCTTTCTTTCAGCACGCAAAACCTCTGCATAATATGCCCTAGCAGTGGCATCACAGCAGGCACCAAATTAAGAAAGCTGGCATTCTACCAGCCTACTCATTATCACTGGATAATATGTATACCAGCAGCAGGTAAACATCTGCTTCATACCAAAAAGCCAGTTGATATAGTGAGGAAACAGTCACTGTAAGGGCAGCATGTCTCTGTTCAAATCAGTCAGAAGCAAGGTGTCTTACCCTTTCAGTACCTGAAGGAGCATCACCTTCAATGTCTGCTGGAAACCCACAATCTGGAATTCTGCAGTAAACTTCCTGCAGACTCTTTCTTCTACTGCCTCCCAGGTTAGCCATACACTTCTATCTTCAGCTAAACCCACCTTCCTCAAGCTGAGGCCCCCCGGCTTTGTTGGACTACAACTCCCATCATTCCCATTCAGCATGGCATTATGAGAGTTGTGACCTGACGTGGCTGTGCAGGGAGGTGTCAGATTGGGGAACATGGATGCAAGTGATGCCTTTCATCTAGCTGTTCCCAGCATCATGGCAGGTTCCAGTGTCTTTAATGCAAAGAGACAGCATGGCCAGTCTGCCAATAGCATACAGTACCCGCTTAACATAAACATGAAGGTCGAAACGAGGATGCCATAAGGAGCTTTCTCATAATGTTCTGTTTCAAAAGGAAAAGCAGCTGTGAGGGCTGCTGAATCAGGTCATGGCCACCCTGGCACTGGGGAAAGGGCATACCTTTTCCATTCTGCCATTTTTATGTAAATTGATCCCCAACACTTGCATTTACCCCATCGAGAAAACAGAGGCGGGGAGAGAAACAGCATCCCCTTGGCCCTCAACTGTGGGCAACCCACTCTAGCATCTTAGGGGTGGCCAGGTTTGTATTTTATAGAGGACATGCTTCTATTTTAGAGAGCTGGCAGAGGACTGGAAGACGACCTCCATCTGATGAGCTGTCCAGTCTACATCTGGTTTAAAGTCAAAGAACTGTCAGCAGGGAGAGCAGCCAGGACCTTGAAGTTGCTCATCAGCGCTTAGCACCTGGATGGCAGACCGAGCAAGCACATAGGTCACCTGGTCACCGTCTTCCCCACCATGGTGAGATGGCTTTTATTAATAGTCAAATAGTCGTTCTCATTTTCAAATCTGCACCTTTCCCTATACATTTGCATATGCAAACAGAAATCCTTTTTCAGTGTGGATGTATAAGTAACCACCCTAGATAGGCCTAACTTGGCCCAAGGTGCTGGAACTGTATTTCTCTCTCCTCTCTGCCTCCTACACACAACTAGCATATCTCCTTGGACCCTGACCCATACCTGGACCGTCTTCTTTCCTTAGCTCGGTATTTGACGCAATACATAGCCACAATTGCAATCATGATTGCAGAAACCAGTGCTGCTACCAGGCCAGCTACCAAACCAGCCACATCCACACCTGATGCTCCTGCAGAAGCAGAAAAAATTGAGGGAACATTAGTGGCAGCATTTGTATGTGACAATACAATCTGTCTTAACCTGAAGCAGAGGTGTGGAGCCTCTCACAGCCCAAGACCAAGCTCAGTTTTGGGAAAGGTCTTGGGAAGGCCACATTCCAGTGGTGGGTGGGCCTGGGGGCAAAAGAGGCGCAAAAATACCAGAGGCATTTCAGCTGTTTGGAACACCCAAAAGCCAGAAAACCACCAAAGTTGGACAGGTGGGGGAAAGGAGAAGGGGAGCATGACTATTGGGGGACCCAAAAGGGATGGTTTTGAAACCCAGGTAGATCAGGAATTCAGCACCTCTGCTCTAGTAAGCACCCTAAAGTGGGTACTGCCCCCATGATTCAGAAGAGCCTAGAGCAAGAGAAGAATTGGACTGCTGTTTCTTAGAAAAGAAGAATCTACATGTCTTGCAGTTAAGTGCTGGCATTAAAAGTAGGTTCTGGGCCTACTGAAGAGCTGCAGCTCAAATGAAAATTTGACATGTTTGTCTCTTTAATGGTAACACTGGATGTCACTTCTTATCTGCCTCCTGCTACCATATTAACTTCAGTTTCAATAAAAATAGTGCATGTCACTGCCCAAAGGGCATCTAGAATTGGTTGGTTTCAAGGTGAATGGCTACCAAGGATGAAACAGAACTACATAGTATTGTTTCAGTCTCCTAGCCCTTATCTTGTGTTTAAATCTGATTCTATGTTAGCCAAGGTATAATGTTAAGTCTGCATATATTTAAATAAATTGATATAGGCAATTGAATAATAGTTCTCCCTCTACCTGTTCTTGTTGATAACTTTACTATTAATTAACTAGTTAAGTGCATACATAGTCCTATGCATGTTTAGAACAAAAAAAAAAAAAAAAAAAAGGCCTACAACTCCCAACATGCCCCATACCTGCTGGTGCATTCTGGGAACTGTAGGGCTTTTTTTCTGCTGGGAACTGGAAACTGTATTCCTAAACATAGGATTGCACCTTAAGAGATGGAAAGTTAACTGTCATCTGCACTACTTTTGTAGGACAGAAAAGCTACTTCAGCCTCCCCCAATTTGGCGCCCTCCAGAATTTTTATTCTTGTAAGCCGTCCTGAGGCTGCCGCAATAGGATGGCATATAAATGTCTTAAATAAATAAATTCCCATAATTCCCACCCGTCATGGAAGCTGTAGACCAATATATCTGAAGGGCTGAGCTATGTGTGTTCACTCCTCATACCTGCTGTATAAAGAGAAACTCCGGGGGAACAGGAGTTTTTATTTCCCTTTATTATTAGCTGTTTTGGGATGGAATAAGAGATAAGTATCGTGCTTCCCCACTTCCATTTGGGCCCTTACTCACTTTTTCCTCCTTTCCCATTGTGTACATAACTCTCCCAAAAGTTTTTCTGCAAGAGATAACAAAAAAGGGCCGAAGTTAGTATGGCATGATGATAAACAATGCTTTTCTCCCTATCTTGGCATCCAGGTCTTTAACTACGGCATTCTTGTCCCTGTAACCAAGACCCAGGGCCCATACTAACCCTCTTAATCTCACTAAACCCAAACCCAGAAACCTTGGACTCTGCCTTTTATCAACTCTCCATTCCCTGTCTGTACTGTAGCTTAACCTTAGTACTCCATTGTTTTCCCACCCCCTCCATCTCCTTCCCTATCTTTCCTAATAGGGTGGCCACTAATTAACAGCCCAAAAAGAAGAAAAGTGTTATCAAAAAGTGGGTGGCAATTTTGCATGCAATTTGCCCTGCTAATGTATACGAGTTATAAATATATGTATACATACATGTCTCTCTCTGGGTGTATATGTGTGTTATGTATGCATTAGATGCAAAATTAGAAATATGTGCATAGTACATGTCACTATAACGTGGAAGATGGTGAACTGCTGACCCATGTGCCTGCAGAGCTGTTCAGTTGGCTGTCCTGATGCCCATAATACATTAGCAACCTCAGAGGCGGTTTTAGAGTTCAGCCCGCTAGGAGTGGAGCGCCACATTTTTCATCTGGACCCTTGAATCTCTGGGAGGCCATCTGCCTCTAACCCTGCTTCGGTAGGTACTTGCTGAAATACAGGGGCCCTCTTGATCTGTTGCACCTTATCCCTCTGGATCAGATGGCGTTTTGCCCACATGTGCTTCATCTCCTGCTGGCTGCCTTGAATCCTTCTGCCTGAGTTTTTTTTTCTGAAATCAGATGCCCTCCTGTCCCCTATCCATACTTCTTTCTTTCTTTTTACAAATAAGGCTAATCCTTAAGAGACACAGAGGAAGAGAGCATAAGTAAACTGACATAAGCAATTATGTGCTTTTTTTAGTACCTAGACTACCCTGGGCAACAGCAGTTCTTATGTTTATCATCAACATATCATATTGCATTTTATACCTATCTTTTCCCCTCTTGTGCTAATGTAGCCCACACAATCCTTTTCCTCCCCATTTTGTCCTCACAACAACCTTGTAAAGTAGGTTAGACTGAGAATCAATGACTGGCCCAAAGTCACCCATTGAGTTTCAGGAACAGCAGCAAGTAGAACCTGTTCAGACCAAGACTTTAGAATCAATACACCACACTGATTCTCTTTGAATCAGAACTAGATAGGGCAAAGCCCTTCAAACAGAGGATGCCTTCAGGGGGCACTTCTGTAGCAACCAGTCAAATAAAGGACTGTCCTGTGTAAAAGAGGACACAGGCCCTTCTGCCCTAGGTTAAAAACTCCTTAGTACAGAGAGCTTGTCATCTTATACTTTCCAAGGTGCTTGCTACAAGAAAACCTAGGTCTCTGGCTGAAAATGGGCTTTCCCTCCTGTTCTTATGCAGAACTAAGCTACAACCTGAAAAAAATATCATTACAGAAGCATACAGTGTAGTTCACAAAAGACTTTCCCTTAAAAAAGGAAAATTTGCAATCTTCACAGTTATGAAGAAAGCATCAAAAAGGCCTAGGCATTCTCTGTGAAAATACTGAAAGAAAAACGTGGAGGCATATATACTTGGTATAAATCCTGGTATTCAAGCTTCACCCTACAATCCACAGCTTTCTGCCCTCCGACACCCATTAGCCCCTCCACCTGTTCAGAGAGAAGCTCAGCTCTCCAGGACCAATGTTGCTCATCACTGCACTCTCTACCCAAATGAGTTATGCAATCAAAAAATAATTAGCAGAACACATTCTATCTGGAGACACCAAGCTCTATAGTTCTTTGTATGAATGTCAAACCTCAGACAAATGAGATGTTGCAGAGTTACTCACAGTGAAACCCATGTCAGCTTCAGTTTCCTGAACAGCCTCCAGAGCGAGTCCACATATGATGTGACAACAGCACAGCAACCACAGTCTCAGTGATGGGGACAGTTTAACCCACTCTAGAAGCTTGGAGCCATTCACACCCGAGCAATGGCATTGTGGCGCCAGGGCTTGCAGTGGTGTAGCACCTGCACCTTTCATAGGCAGGACCAAGCCTCACTGCCACTGCCACTGCCTATTCAGAACGTTCTGCACCCTCCAAGCTTAGCTGCAATCCTCACTGTGCCTTGGGTGGAGCAAGGTAGTGGAATTAATTTTCCCAGTAATTATATACTGTTCCGTGTTATAATGCAAAGTATGGTGGGGTGGCTTGCTCATGAATGCATAATTAAGCTTTATAAAAGACCTGCTCCTGGTGGAGGTGAAAAATGCTAGTTTGCTCATATGGATTAACAGGGCAGCCTGTATTTGGAGCACAGTTGTTGGAACTGTCATGATGAGCACCTGCATTTGCAAATTTACCATGGTCTCTTTGACTGCAAGAGAACACATCCTAGGGGAGTGATGGCGACACTTGTAGAGAACGAGTGTCCAAACTGCAACTCAAAACTCACTTATTCATTGCAAAGTGTCAACGCTGCAATAAAATCTGAATACTGAGGTTTTCGTTTAGAAAAAACAACATGCTGGGGTGACTTGGCTCATGTGCCGACAGAGAGGGTTCTGTGTGTCCATTGTGGGACACATGCCATAGGTTCGCCCCCACTGTCCCAGGGCCTCTTAATATCTCCCAAAGCATTGTTGGCACCATCTCTAAATAGAGGAGGCTTGTTTCTGTCTGCTCTTCACCAATCGGAGAGTAATACTTACATTCTAAAATGAAGAGCTATTGCTGAAGACCACACAGAAACCACATGGCCCGATGTAGAAAAACTATTCCTAAAGGCAGAAACATCATCTCCTTGCACACAAAGAGTCAGAAGGCGACAAGGAGGATCTTGGTGCATCAGGCCTAAGGCTCATCTTGACCTGCATTCTGTTTGCACCGCGGCCAAGATGCTTCTGAAAAACCCGACAAGCCAGACATGAACACCGTTGTAAGCACCGTTCTGCTCACTCACCTACCCTCTCTCCTTTAGCCAGCCTAAAAAGACTAGATGATAGTCCTCGCTGATATATGAGAAGGGAAATTCCAGGCCTGTCAAAAGCAAACAGGACCCACATCTTCAGGATTAAGCCCCAGGGAAACACAAGCCACAAAGAACCAATTTCATGGGCCAGAGACGGTTTCATCAGGAAATCCCCCTGTCCTTTTGCTGGGCCCTACCCCCACCATCACCTCTATTATAGTCTGCAAGAAAGCTAGGCTCCGAGCTGAGGTGACTATCTGCCCCACTTCATAGAGGACGGCCCTCTCTTTGAAGGGATGTCCAAGACAAGTTTAAAGATACTAGACCATAAGAAGGCACAGCAGGGGCCTCGAAGTGGCACATTAATACCAGGCACATGATCAGCAGGCAAGCACACAAACCACTGTCTTTTCCACCACAATGAGATGAATCGATAGCCTTTCTGCTTATAGCAGTTCTCCCCAAATTTGAATCTATAAGTATAAATTAGTACATGCAAATTTGGGTCTTCCTGTGTCCCCCTTTTGGTGAAGCATAGGCAAAGTTTGCTGTTATCGGTTCACCTCCTCTTAATGAATCCTGGCAGGCTAACCTGGCTGCAAAAGCTTCACTCCAAACAGCAATGGGCAGCGGGATGTAGCTGCCTTTAAATTTCCCTTGGTGCCCCAGAGAAGTGTATTGTGAGAAATTATAAGAGTATCCAGACCCCTTTCACTGGGTGTTGCTTGGAGTGCTGGGCCGAGGAAAAAGAAATTAAGGGGTCAGGGCTCGCATCAGCCCAAGGATGCCAAGTGTTGATGCCAGTCCCAGTTTTGTGGCAAACAACCGAGTCCCTTTTCACAGAACTCAGAGGAAACAACTGCTCCCATGTGACCGCTTCAGGAATTCTGACTTCAAAGTAGTCACATGCAGTTCACATTGTGACCTCTAGAGGGTAACAGTCTACAGGAAAAGAAGCTTCTTAATCTTAGGACATAAATCACTTCAAGAAAATAAGCTTAGCTGAAGCTTTTTATTTCAAATGTGGTTTTAATAGTTTCTGCTTAATTTTTAAAATGACATTTTAGAACAGTTTTTTTTACAGTCGTTGGGTTCTAGTTTCTGGAAAACGTAAAATCTACATAAAATGCTGCAATGCTCAGTTTCTAGCAGCTGTACAATCAATTCAAAGTACCAAAATGCATAGTCAGACACCTTAATCACAACCAATCAAAATTCCTAATTCCTAACAAAGATATTGTCCAACCAAGTGTAAATATTTTTTTTCATGGATCAGCATGGCTACCTTTGTTTTTTGGTAGGTGGTCCTTTAAATGGCCAAAGTCACCAATCTGCAGGTTTCTCTCTAGAACCCGCTATTGGATTTATCTATTGCTGTATAAGGCAAGTTGCAACTCTGGAGAGTAAGACTCAAATCCTACACTAACCAGGGAATAAATCCAAAGAACTCATTGCAACTTAATTAGGGGAAATATGATCAGGATTACACTGTATATTTGATGTAACGCTGAACATGTTTCCTTATCTATAGGTAGCCTGAACAGTTTCTGACCCCCACACTTTCCTTTACTATCTCAGCTGCCTTTTCCATCCTCAGGTCTTGATAGCCATGTCTATACACAAGACATTTTGTTGTCTGGGGCAGATGGACAGGCAGAAGGAAGCAAATGGAGCTTCCGCAGCAAAGTCAGCCTGTTCTGGCCCTGGAGACAGAAAATTCTACAAACACCTCTTTCCCTTTCCCTGGCAGTGCAAATGCAATAATAATTAAATAATAATTAAATAATGAATAATTTGCTAGGTTCTCATTATGTCCCAAATCAACCATCTGAGGCTCTAAAGAATGTATACGTGTTGTGAAAACACTGTAACTCCTAAGAATGTTACTGTTTGTAAAAAGAGATGTATGGAAAACCTCAGGCAGAAAGATCCAGGGGAAACAACAGGAGGGAACGCACACATGAGGAAAAAGCCACCTAATCCAATATTGATGCAACCAATATTTTCAGAATCACTGTGCCTTTATTATATTATCACTATTATTTTTTTCCAGAAAGTTACATGAAAATAAACTTTTTATAAGTGGACTTATGTCCCTGAAAGCTTATTATGCCACAGTAATGTGAGAGGCTTTATGGTGCCAAAAGGCATTGTGGCTTTTGGACACTAAAGAGAAAGATGTGCCTATATTCCTCCCACATTTATTTGCATTTCTGTAGCTGAATGCAAACTCCTGCTACCCACACAATTTTGGCCACATGGAACCAACAAAAAGCAGGTACACTCTAGAAAGATGACTGTAGGTCCAAGGCGTACCAGGTACATTCAAGAAAGCTAGCAAGCCTGGACAAAGTACACATGCATCTATCACCTTAGCCCAAATTTCGACACTTCTGTTCATTCAAATCCCTTTTACAAGTAAACCTACTTCTATTTCCTCCAAGGTGAGGGACTTGGACCAGCTTTGAGGAAACAACAGATGAAGAAGGCCTCTCACTCTCCATCTGATAGGTAAGCAACCAGTGCACCTGCTTTTTCTTTATTCTAGGCTTTGCTGCCTATGATGGCTCAGCATACAAGTGCAATTGCCCAGAAGCAGTTGGCCGGATAGGTCTCAACAGGGCCTGGCACAGTCCGAGAAAGCTGGATGACAGTGGTGCTGTTCAGGCAATTTTTGACTGTGGACTTTATGAAAATTATGACCAGACTGTGGAAAGTTGGTAACCGTTTCTTCTCTAGTTTAAAAGCTGTTGCCCTCATGCTACATTCCCTATAAGTCAACTAAAGGAGTGAATCCTAAGGTCTCCTAGTAACTGGAAGGCTATTGAGTTCAGAAGGAAAAGGCAGGTTTATATTAAGAGAGACAGTAACAACTGGAATAGTGCTAAATATTGAGGCACTATTGAAACGATCTAGGGGTCCGTGTTCAAGTGGGCTGGTTGTGACACTGCCCATGATCAGGAGCTGAAACCAATCCACATTCTGAACTGGCTGTGAGTATATAACAAATGCTGTGATGCAAACCTACAGATATAAATTAAACCTATAGCCTTAATTGTGACCTCTAATTGCAAAGGCTGGGAGGGTTGTCATGTTTAATAACATAATATGGTGACAGTGTCCTAAACAGTGGACCAGAAAAAAGAATTTAAGAAAGGGCAACTGCTGGTGTTACAGAGGTACAGTGGTGGGGAAGCTGCACCCACAGACTTTCACCTTTCCGTAGCATTTAAGGTCTCATTGATTTTGAGCAAGGGCGGAAGAGTCACAGAAGGCTCCTTTAGCATTGTTTGTAGTATTGGTGCAATTTAAAGTGCAGGCATTCACCATGATGGTCCCCATGGGAGAGTTAAAAAATGCAGGCAATTGTGCTGATCTATATCAAGAGCCCAGTTCTAGAATTTTTCACCTCTACAAGAAGCAGATGTAAAGCAAATGGGTAATAACTGCCTATAAAGACCAAGCCACTCCAAAATACTTTGTGTTATATATAGAGAACAGTATACTGTTACTGGGGATATTCATTTCCCCCCAGTCACACTAACAGGAAGTCTGAGGAGGGTGCCAGATGATATCAGCAAACCAATCATTCCTGTGCTGCGTTCCTGAGACCTGGATTCCACATTGCCACTGGAAAAACAAGAGTCCTGCGGCAACTTAAACACTAACAAATGCATTGTAGCACGAACTTCCTTGACTTCATCTAATTGCATCAGATGTAAGCAGCAGTCTCCTCAGCTGGGGGGAGTGGGTGTGCACACTTGTGTACACGCACACGCACACACACACACATAGACAGAGGAGTGTAAAGAGAAAAGCAAGTCAATACTGTGGTCAAATAGCAATGTACTGCAAAAAGCATAGCCCATGATTCAACTCAATTAAAGCTTAAACGGAAGCAAAATAAACACAATGGCCATTCACAACAGCACTAATTGGTGATAACGCAATCACCTTAGCATTGCTAAGTTAATTAATACAGATCCTGGAACAGGAAACCATGGGCTCATTTGCTGCAATAGTCCAAGGGGGTTATTCTGCTAGCATTATTTGGGAATCCCATCATGAAGCCAGTACCCCTCTTAGTAATGGGCTAACCACTTGCCACAGTCATTTAGGGTTATTCATAGCAGTTTTTTCTGGTTTTTAAACAATAAACAGCCACTCTGGGCTGTAAGGATTTTGAACCATGATTACCATCAGCTTTGAACACTTTGTTGGTCATAATATCAATGTATCACTTGTGAACACACGGGAGCACTGCCGAAGATGTTTCTGCAACCAGCCACAGAGATAGCATGCCATCACACCGATTCTCTTCTACCTGCCCTTGCAGCCCGAGTCTGAAACACATGCTCTTCCATCCTTGAGCAGCCAAGAAGGTATTCATGCACACATTTTGGCACATGGGAGTTTTCCCCAGTGAATTTTTGGAATCCTTGGCTGGTCTTGCAAGTGCTTCCACACAGCTCCAGATTGTGACTCACATTGCCTCTGGAAGCTATTTTAAAAAATCATCTGAGCCAGATTATAAACTGGCAACCTAAAGCTCTGGCATATTGAAGCATTTCTATCAGCCTTTCCCAAGCAGTTGCTTTCCAAATGGATTGAATTATGATCCTACACTGCATGGCCACTGCAGCTCAATACATTCAGAAAATGCCAGATTAGGCCAGACTGAGTTGTACAAGCAACTCAGTATTTTGGAATTTAAAAGGAAAGGGAAAGGAAGGGGTGAAACCTTGGCCCCCTCCACTGCCCACTTGCTTGGTGGTTTTCTAGCTTTTGAGGAGTTTCTCCCTCTTCTAAAAGGTTGAAATACTACCCCACCCCCCAGTTGTCAACAAGAGCTTTAAAGTAAAATATGTGGGGATTTTTGTATTGTTTTTGTATTTTGTCCTCATCTCCTCTGCCTTTGGCCTTGCATACAGCTGGAATATGCCCCCGGCACAAATCTCCAAAATTGAATTTGACCCTCAGACCGAAAGAGGGGCCTACCCCCGCACTGGGGGTGCACTTTACAAATGAGGTGACTTGCTCCCACAACCAGCGAGAGTGGAGGGCATAAGCTTGGGGAAAATAAGAGTGGAAGCCAGGAGGGGATTGTCCTAGGGTGCAAGGTGCAAGAGAGGATGGAAGATGGGTTGGAGGAGTTGGACATACTCTAGGAGGAGTGAAGTTCAAGGAGGGACAATTAATCTCGGGCAGTTTCTATGGCAATTCTTAATGGTTTTCTTGTTTACTCATATGCAAAAGAGTAGTGACCACACAGCCTGTCAAGATATGGAGTGGTAGCACAAAATCTAAATAGATACAAGTAAATGCCATGCCAGAAACCACAAAAAGGGTTTATTTGAATTGCTTTCGGTGAACAGAAAAGGCCTGCACATGGACAGCCTTGCACACCGAGAGCTTTTCCTCTTCAGTGCAATAGCTCTTCTCTTCATGGCTCTTTCCAGAAAAGCAACATGCAAATGAGCTGTGACCTAGCTACATATTTCTCTCAGACAGCCATTTCAGGGTGCTGCTGGTTTCACTCCCTGCCTCCCCAAGCCAGACATGGTTTTGTAATAAGATGCCCAAGGCCTTGCACATGATTCTTCTAAACTATGCTTGGAATCTACCTGCTCCCAACTTCCCAGACGGGTCCTGGCAGGGTTAATTGTACTTAGACAACAACACTCTTTGCTTCCTGACTATTAACCAATAATGTTTTGCATTTGCAGCCTTCTCAGAAAAGTCTTGGAATCTTAGAACACCAGGACTTGGATCCAGATTTAGTCAGAGTGGCTAAATTTATTTATTTGTCTGAATAATCCTAATTGTGCATCTAGGCAAATAAATCAGCCCGTGCAAATATAATGCAAATCTGAGCCTTTTCTTTTTCGTCTTTCTTTTGGCAGTGCGTAAGTAGCCGTCCTCTAACCCAGCCCAAGGCCTGTCCCCATACTCAGCTGTTAAGATGTCATCTTCAAAGACTTCACGGGCTTCCTCATAGTTGCAAACTTCTTCTTTGCATTCACGTTCCAGGTTGTCTGGGACAATCAGTTCAAAATCCCAGCGGTTGTAAAGTGGCTTACGACCCAGGAATCTGAGTGCTGTAGGGTCATCCAGGAACACTGAGAACAGGAATGAGCAGACATTATCCTAGAGCAGTTCTAGGAACAAGACACCTCTGCCTCCTCAAACAGCCTCCCCAAACTGCGGGGTTCCAGCTGTGTTGCACTACAACTCACAGAATCCCATAGTGGGAGATTGAGGTGCAGGTTTGGAGATGCTTCATGAAAGGGAGCAAGAGATGAACTTCTGAATTCTTAAAAGGGGCATGCTATATATTGCAGCGGGTGGAATCTTTAAACCTTATGCGATTAGTTTCTTATCAGAACCTAGAACAAAACAGCAGCTGGGGTCAATATTAGTGGGAGTGAGATGAAAAATGCTGGTTAAGGGAGCAGAACCATCTATTGCAACTCATGAGTGACAGACTGGAACTGCATAGACAGATCTGTGTCTCAGTTCCTATATGTGAGTGGTTCCAATTGGCTAGCAGAATTGCACAAAGTCCTAGTCCAGCCTGGCAGGGAGTCTGTCATTTTTCCTGTTATTTTATGTGCTGCAGTGAAACTGTTGTGCAACATGAATCTCTTGCCAATCAGCTGTCAATCAAACACAGATCAACCAGCAGACCCTAACCTGTCTCCTGCCCACCCGGAGCAGGCCTTAGGTGCTTCCCCTTCCTGATGGAAGACTCCTTGCACCAACAGTCAGAAGTTTCTGTGCAGCTCTTCCCTCTATCTCGCCTTAAAGGTAAGAAGCATGATGGAAAAAGTGGTTGCAAAATGCAGGAAACTTCTGAATGGAACATGAAGATGTCACAACTGCTGCCTCCTATAAAATTCTGTGTACGGGAACAAGATGACAGCATTACCTTGTACACCGTTCTGAAAGCTGATTGCTATTTGAATGGTTTGTAAGAGCTCTAAATAAATAAAAGCATCGTCTGGAAATGCCTTGGATGGATGGAAACTGCTTGAGCTGCCTAAATGGAAAGGAGATTGGGCTGTGCCTCAGAGCTGTAGCTTAGTGCTAGAACACCTGCTTTGCTTCCAGAAGGTCCCAATCCCTGGCACCTCCAGGAAGGATAGGAAAAATTCCTTTCTGAATTCCTGGAGAGCTACCTGCTGCCAGTCAGTGTAGACAATAACCATTTGACTCAGTATAACGCAGCTTCTGATGCAGAAATTCTTAATCCCCTCCTTATACACCAGCTTTCCCAGCCCGGTGCCTTCAGATACATTGAACAGCATGGCCATCAAATTATGAGAGCATTGGTTGGGAATCATGGAAGTTATAGTCCAACATGTTTGGAGAAAACCAGGCTGGAGAAGGCTATATGCACTTTCAGTCCTCCAATGGAGAATGCCTATGAAAAGGACTGAGAGGTAATGTCCTTGTGTGTGTTGTAAAGTTGGAGTATTTAAAAGCTGTGATGATGACTGTGAGCTCATAGTTGGGTGTATTCTAACTAAGCCTGATGTTGGGTACAATCCAACTGGCACATCTTCAAGTTATACCCACAATTAATGTCAACATGCCCGAGTCAACCAAGCACATTTTGGCTGTCGGGAAAGCAAGGGAGAACCCTCCATTTTGACAACAAGTACCCTCAGTAAATTGCTCCTTCTTCAAATTACCTGGATCTTCTTGAGCATGTTCATGCTCAGGGTGCCTCTCGGAGGAGCCAGCGAGACCAGGGACTAGGGCTTGGAAGAGCAAAAGAAGACACTGGGGACTCCGCATGACAGGTCCTGAAAGGAGAATGTGGCACAGTTGCCAAGCACTGGGTTATCTCAGCGGGTACTGAGACGAATTCTTGGACAACGTTCTTCTCACCCCTGGCCTCTTTCTTGTCTGCCAGTGTTCATGTACAGCAGGAGTGGGTAACCTGCAGTCCACAGCCTACTTTCAAAAGGCCTCTGTGGGTGACAAATTCAGACCTCGGGCAAGAAGGAAAGATCCCTCCTTGGGCAGTAGGGGGTTGCTACATCATAAAGCACATTACTAAAAGAGGATGCCTATTTGCATAATATTTGCATATGCTGATTTGTATGCATTGATGCAAATTTAGAAATAATCACTATAATTTCGATAGCAATACAAGAGATCTCACCAGAGTGAGGAAGACTGATCAGGCAATCTCAGTACTCTCTCAGTCTGCTGCCCTGGCATCAGCTGTTCATCGGTCCCTGACTTTTCTCCCGCTTGGAGCTCTTTGAATTTAAACTAGACATGGACCAAATAGCCCTTTGAATAGAGGACACTTCCAAACAAAGGGCCATCCTTTGTAAAGTAGGATACCACACTGGGAAGGTTGTTCAAGGCAGTCAAAGAGTATTACCAGGAACCCTAATTAGGTAATTCACATTAATAACAACAGCAAAATCTCTGTAGAGTCCACGGCACATTGGGGTTTGCCAGCAGGCCTTGGCTTGTCTAGCTAGTTAAAAAGTCAGCAGCCAGAACTGTGCTGAGATTCTTCTGAATACAGAATTGAATGTGGTGACCTTCCCTTTTCAGGACTGTTCTTCTTAGTTTCATTTTATATCACCCAATAGCCAAACCTCTTCACGGTGTGCATTCCGACTGTTTAGTCAGAAGGAAGTTATTCATTTCAATTAGGTTTACTTCTTTATAAGGGCAAAATCAATATTACAAGTTCATTTGAGGCATGTTTACTCTGAAGGAAAATCTCATTTGAATGGAAAGAACCATAACTCAGTGGAAGCATAGCTGAAAGTGTAAAACCTTGGAGAGCCACTACTATTCATTGACTTGGTTTGAGCATAATAGCAGTCCTGAGTATGGGTTGGGTATGAGTGCGGTTGTTGAATTGTGGATTATGACATATGAGCTCTACACTGTAGTTTAACTATAGGAATGTATCACAAATAACCCAGAGTTCACAACCCCAAAGCAAACAATTATTTTCCTGGGTTGGTTGTGGTTAAAACTCCTATGATCTGGTGTATATGAAAGCGCAGCAAATTAATCCACAAGTTTGCCACATGGTACAAACTTGTGGATTAACCCACAATTAACCTATAGGGAGAATAGGTTGTAAGCCATCCTGCTCAGTTGAGATGGAACAATGCCATTGCGCACCTGACAGATGATTGGGCTCACCTTGGCTTGTTCATCACTTCCTTTGCCCTTCAGTTCTCCCACCATTATCCAGGGTCCTTCACACTAACACCTGTCTTGCCACCCCATTCCCACTCCAATAACTACTACTAGGGTTTAGGGGGATTTGGGGGGAGCACCCCAAAACACAAAAAAGCTGGGGTCTTTTTATTCTTGCTGTTGGTCTTTTGCAGATGCTCAAGCACACATTTATGGCTGTTTGGTGTGTGTAGTCTTATCTTGTTAATAGCCTTGCAATAGTGGTCAACGAGAGCCAGAAAGTGGAGTAGATAATGTATATGGAAAGGAGAGATTGCATATAGGATAATTTGTGGACAATTGCCATCTGTCAACTGGCTACCTGTCAACTGAAAAGTAACAGGGAAAAATGGTGAAAGTTGGTGCACCAAAAGGGCGTGATGACAATATCACTTCCTTAGCAATGTGATCCTCTAGCTTTTAATTGTTGAACGGACAGTCTTCTACCATTTCGACCCTGAGTCTTCAGTTGCTCCAAAAAGGGGAGATATTAATTTTCCCTCCCATTTTTTTTAAAAGGTTCCTTTTTGACACACTTAATAATGCAGTTGCTGTGGTACCCTGGCAGATCTAAAAATGCACATTTTGGGAGACTGGGAAACAGGTGCAAAATTGGCTGCAAAGTAAATAGAGGAGAAAATATGCATTACAGTGACTCCTCTGTTACTACAGTTGCACTTAGTTCCCCTCCATCCACTGTCCTGCCTTTAAATTGGCAGAACTTTCCCCTCAGTTTACTCTGTAATTAATAAATGTGTATATATTTCCCTGCCCCCCCAAAAGTGTGCATATTCCCAACAGTTAAAGAAGAAGAAAGGGTCTTAGAAATGGCAGACTGCAACAGAGCTAATGGGGCACCAGCACTAGTTGTATTTAAACCTGTCCCCAACCCACCCATGGGGATGCCATTCACTTGGTTTCAATCAGACACCTCCTTAGATCCCCTTTTCAAACTGTTCCTGACCCACAGTAACAGTGGCAGTAAGTGTGGGAGGGAGTTAATAGGTTCCTTCTTGGAGCACCTGGAAACTTGGGGAAATGTTGAAATTATGGTAGAGGACAATGAAAACACCTGTGATCCTCCAGATGTTTTTGGTGTACAACTCCCATCAGCCCTAATCAGCACAGGCCGTGATACAGAATGATAGGAGTTGTCTACCCAGCCATCTGATGGGTTAGTGATAGTACTTGCTTGGTAGGGTGGTCTTGCATCCTACTTTACAGAAGACAGTCCTCTGTTTGAAGGCATTCTCTATTTGAAGAGCTAACCATTTCACACCCCATGGGAAGATTAAGAGCTCCAAAGAGACAGAGAAGGCAAGACCCTTGAAATTGCTCATCTGCATTGAACGGCCACACAGGAGGCTGGCACACGAGTCACTCTCTTTCGCAGAAGACAAGGCTCCCATACCCTTAACACAGTTTTCCCCAACTAGCTGCCTTCCAGATGTTTTGGTTTATTTCATGTTTCAGGTCCAGCCAGCATGGATAGTTGTCAAGAATGCTGGAAGTTGTTATCCTAATCGTCTGGGGGCACCAGGTTGGGGAAGGGTGATGCAACAATTGTGTAGAACAGTGGTTTTCAACCTTTCCACAGCTGTGGACCGATGAAAACAGGAAAACCACCTTGGGGACTGCTGCAGTAGAAACAAATCACCACACACATAATACAGTATTCTGTGTATTAATTTCCAAACACAATACCAAAGAGAGAGAGAGAGAGAGAGAGAGAGAGGGAGGGAGGGAGGGAGGGAGGGGAGGGGTCTCCAAAACAACCAGAAACCGAACAACAAAAAAATGTCAAAAAAAGAACAGACTATTGAAATAGGTGCAGCATGGCTCCCAGTCAGTTCCCACTGAGCTGTCCCTCCCCTCTTTGGCCCTCCTGGCAGCACCGGCGCATCCCCCGCAAACATGATGCCAACCGAGGAAGAGGTGGTGGAGCACAGCCAGCCCCTGTGCCGGTCGGCAGCGAGCGGGGTGAGTTCCCCCCACGGACCGGCAGGAAATCTCCCGCGGACTGGTGCCGGGCCATGGACTGGTGGTTGAAAACCGCTGGTGTAGAAGACAGCTTTTTGCTGGTGCAACTGTCATGTGGTGAGGAAAGCTGCGCCGACAGAAATTGCACCAGCATTATAGGGAGCGTGCCCAGTGCCATGCTTCAGCAGTACCCACCCAAGAGTGCCAAGGGATTCAGCCTTTGCAGGAGCCAAGCTCTTCCTGAGAATGTTCCCCTTCCTCTTTTTAACAGGAGTACACAGAAAAAGCACCTTGATGTCAGAGCCAGGAATCCTGGGTTCTCAGGGAGTTGTGTGGGGAGCAGAAGACTAGAGGATAGAAACTGGAACCTGACTCCCTGGGATTCAGGGAAAGAAGTTTTCTGAGAAAGAAGTTAAATTTGGTGCATTGAAACCAAGATAGGTTGAAATTTTTTTTTTAGGTTGAAATTTTTTATTTAAATAAAAACATACTATGGAAACTGAAAGTACTGAGTACATTGTCCAGCTATGGGTGGAAGATAAGGAACACAGAATGTTTGCTCAGTTCCCTGCCTGACCTTTTGCAGCCTTAGCTCTAATAGTGGAACTGGGATATAATGCAAATCAAAAAGCCTGGTCGTTATGCTCCCAAGATGGAATCTATTGCAAATGAGGGTATTTATAGAAACCAGTCACCCTACAATCTCCTGAGTGTCCACTGTTAAAGAGAAATCCTGTGCTAAAGTGACTAGGGCCAAGTTGTTCCTCAGCTGTTTCCAGAAATCTGCCTCTTGCAATGGCAAATAGCTGGTTGGTTTCCTTTAGCTTTATCAAGCAAGTTAATGATTTCTAGCCCAGTTCTGCTTTCACATTGGTCCCACTGTATTCAACAGGGCATACTTCAAGTCTTTCCCAAGGCAGTTTCTTGTGCACCAAACACCACATGATCTAAGAGGTGTGTCCTTTGCATGAATGATGCGTCACAAATTTCTCAGACTGCATATTGCTTTACTGAAGTCCCTAATAATATATTGCTCCTATAAGTGGTTTCTTGGCAGTCCAGTGTAGATGGACAACCTCAGGCTTAGAACTATTTATAACATAACCAAAACTGAAGTAAAATCAGGCACTTTCCTTCACTTCCCTAACATTTCATATATAATGGACTTTGGCATGAACACATCCCCCCTATACACACACACAAACACCTAAACTGTTCTGCAGTAATTCTGGAAGTGTTTGTTAAAAGATCACACTTAAAATTATAAATGAATATGTAAAGTTTATACAGTCCTTTCAGATCTTAAATATGCTTCAAATATGTGCTCTTCTAATCTGCACAACAACCCTAAAAGGTAGATGAGTTATTATCCCCATATTGCTAGTATAAATAACATTCTAGTACCTTATTGGGACCTCTAAGTCAGGGATAGGCAGAAAGTAGATCTCCCGATGTTCTGTACTTGAATTGCTGAGCATTGGCCATGCTGGCAAGTGCTTCTGGGAGATCTATTTTTTTGCCCTCTCCAGGGCTGGGACAGGCAGGCCTGGGGGCAGAGTCGCGTGACTTGTGCATGGTTGTGGTGGCACAGCCTTGTAGTTCTAAGTACAGAGTCCTGTGATTTGTACTATCACCTGGAACAGGATCTAGTATGTGCCTATCATCAGCTTTACCTAGTCCCTCCAGATATGTTGGATACAAGTCCCACCTCATATGGGAAATGTCCATGCTGGCTGGGAACGATGGGAACAGCAGTCCAAACCATCTGGCAGGGCACCAAGTTGGGGAAGGCAAGACCCAAAGTGTGTATATTATTATTATTATTATTATTATTATTATTATTATTATTATTCCATTTCTATGCTAATACTAAGTGGGTATTAGTGACTAGGTGGGTCAGGGGGGAAACTAGCTTTGTTTTACTCTTCCCACCTATAAAAGCAAAGCAAACCTAGCCAAATTGGGACTCATTTTCTTGATCTTTTGTACCTCTACATGGATAGCAGCTGTGAGGTGACAGTGTAGCACCATAAATCAGTTACACAGTGCAATCGCCTATCAGTCTTTTCAGAAATAAGTCCAAATGAATTCACAGAGACTTAGTTCCAGATAAGTGCAATGTATAAACTATAAGCTTAGGGTGCAATCCTATACATGCTTAGACTGAAGTCCCACAGCAAGGCTGGCTGGGAAATCCTGGGAACTGTACGACATTTTCCCACTTAAACATGCGTAGGATTTTGCCTTTAGTGAGCTTCCTGATTTGTAGCTTGGTCTTTTCGTTGCTATACGGCTGCACCAGTTTATTGTTGATTAATAAATTTTACTTCCTGATTTCTGTTCCCAGAAACTGGGACACAAAAGAACAATAACTACTCAAGACTTAAGCATATGTTCTCAAGATTTTAGACATTGCCTGGTGAGTTGAAAGTGAGGCTACAATCCTATGCATATTGAACTGAGAGTAAGTCTCACTGAACACAATGTGGCTTACTTCTGAGTAAGCATGGATAGAATTGTGCTGCTAGGGTACAGTAAAAGGGCTCAGTGTCATATCTTTTAGATAAACATATTTCATAGGAAACCTATTTTCCCATAGGAGAAACTAAAATGGATCGTCACAATGCTCGGTTCCAGCCTTGCCCAGCATGTTGTCTCCCAGATGTGCTGAACTACAGCTCCTATTCCCCACATGGCCACCCTGAGGACTTGTAATCCAGCACATCGGAACATTCTGATGATCCATTTCAATTCTATATTAAACCGGGTGGAGCCTTAATGGTTACGATTATGGGCTGATGCTGAATTGAACTTCGCCCAAGCGTTAAACTTCCAGCTCTGGACTGAAAAGAGAGCTCCTAAACGGCCCTAGGAGTACTGCACAACCGAAGGGAAAAAACCCCCCTGAAACTAAAAGTTCCCTTCCCTCCTTCAAATCGTGGAAAACCAGAAATTGTTCCCTGCCCTGTTAAGGCACGGGAAAAAAACAAGCTTTGGGAAGCAAAGTGCTCATGTGAAGAGCCGGTTTGTTTCCGAGCTGCCCGTGCGCTGCCAGCTCACCTGTGCGGAAACCGTGGGCAGAAAGCAGGGGCGTCGGACACTCGGGGAGCGGTTGCCCAGGAGCTTCTCTGCTTACCCACGCCAGAAAGCCGGGGGGCAGCGGGGAGACGACCCAAGCATCAGTGGGCGGCGGGGAAAGGCAGAATCGGAGATCTCTCCATCGTCGTCCAGGGCAGACGGGGAAACGGTCGGCAAGAAAGCGAGATCTCCAGGGCTGGACGCGGGAGGAGCTACTACAGGCGAGCGCCAGGTGAAAGCGGGTGGGTCTGAAGGTCACACGGAAGAGGAGACACAAGAGGCCAGGGGAGGGGAGCTCAGAGGAGGAGTCAAAGGTTGGGCTGCCACATTTCCTGTGAGTGGGCAGGTAGCTTTCGCACTGTGCATGTCCAGCAGCCGGCTTTCCCAGACCGTGGTCTGCGGCAGAGAGATTCCCGGGCAGCTCGAAACTCATTCATGCTTATTCATACTTCCCCAGCCTCGGGGCTTTCAAAACAGGCGCCAGGGCTGTTTGATGTGGGGTTTGATTTCCCGCTCCACTGTGTTTGATGCCCTGGTTTTGGATACAGAGGCAACAGTTAAGCCAATGAGGTTATATGGCCCATTTCCCACAAGGTGTGGAAATGCTTCAAAGGGCTCATATTAGGGGATGATGGTGTAATCGCTTAGAGGCTGGAAGCCATACAGAACACTGGAACATTGGGGTCTCTTCATACATACGCATAGATGCTTGATGGACAGATTTGACAATATTTATATACTGCTTAGTATTAAATACCTTCAAGTGGAGAGCCCTGCTTCTTTTGTTGACTTGATGCTTCTCAATGGTAACAAATGATCTGGTTAAATTACAGGTGCCGGATGAAGACTGATGGGATGAAGACTGACTCTTAGGGCCACTCCCCTTAGATTGCATTGTTTGTCACAGTGGTTACCAGAATACAAACTTGTGTTTCGTTCATTCAGATACTGCTGAATGTCAAAGGAATCTTACGTAAAAGGAGAATGGAGCTTGCCTTTGTTAGTGTCATATGACTGACAACTGGTTATCGATATAGTTAAACATGTGAAGGCTTAAAGCTAAAACTAATTTATGATCCAGGCTCTTAGATACAGACACTGGAAATATTGTTTTAGCTGGATGAAGGAGATACATGTGGCCAAAAGACTAGCAACTGCTCCTTTCTCCACAGTGGCACACTCTTTTGTTAGCCATTTGCTCACAGTTTTGTCAAATTCCATTTAAGGGTCATAATTTAATTGGTCTAATGCCCTCATGTTATTGAAACCACATATTGCTCTTTAAGTTTCCTCTACAGTATCTTTACCAAGCAAGGCTGGCACCTCCCCTGTTCTGACTGCAATTTTTCATATTACTGAACATTTGTCTTGCTTTGGATTAAGTTTTTTTTTTCAGATCTAACTCATGGGTAAGTGTCATAGCTGCCAGATAATTGAAGGAAGAGATCCTTTCTATATGTGTGCCTCCCACTTTCTGTTCCTGATAAGCAGCTTCTATTAATATATTTAATGAAGCTCTGTGTACATTTTGCACATTTTCTGTCTGTGAGCGAAGATTCTAGAAGGGAGCTGCAGTGTATTGTTATGTGGATTCCCACCTTCCTATAGTGCAGCACTAGAGTACCTGTTCTGCATACAGAAAGCTCCAGGTTCCAGCCCTGGTATCTCCCAGGTAGGGCAGGAAGAAACTCCAGGCTGAAGCTCTGGAGAGCTGCAGCCAGTTAGTGTTGACAAACTGGGCTAGATGGGCCAAGGGTTAGAATCAACGAAGGGCGGCTTCTGCATTAGTTTTTGAGTTTCAGGTGAACTGCCTCAAGGCCACTCAGGGCCAAGCTAGACATGGCACTGAACATGTTACTTGCAATCAAATCTAATAATAATAAATAGCCATGGGACCAGGGGAGGAATTTTCTCAGATATGTGAGAAAGGTTTAACTCTGTCTTTCCTTCTGTTGTTGGGAAAGTCCAGATAAACCCTCAAATAAAAAGATATGCTTTTGCATGTCCTTTAATATAAAATCTGGCAGCAGTGCCCTTGCTCTTCTCTATTCAAAGGGACTAGAAGTTTTTGCCCAGCTCCACATGCCTCGGAAAAGCAGGCAGTCCCAGGGCCTCTATTATTCATGCATTCTCTCACAGAATCAGACAACCCATGGGGAAACGGTGCTTCCTTTGCAATCTAAAAATACCTAGGCAGCTCACCTTTTTCTTAAGGAATTCTGTATCTCTGATTGCAAAAACCACAACATTTTAAACCTATTAGATTTCTATAACTCCTGATTATTTTGTTTGTTACTCAAGCCTTCAATGGGTCATGATGTTTTTCCTGATGTCTATAATGATTTCTCAGTGTTTCTGTATTTTTCCCCATTGCCCTTGCCTCCTCACCCATTCAGAATCTCATCACTGCCTTGAAACTGTGTACATGACCCACAACCTATAAAACATTCTGTGTATGCTCAGGGAACTTGTAGTCAGTTAGGTACACTGGCTATCTGAAAATGTGGTTGTATTTTGTCTCTGTCAGAGGGGTTCCTGGGTGACTTTGTTAATAAACTGCTGAGGTTTGAGAACAGTGTCTCCCATGTAGATTTGAGTGTACATTCTCCAGTTATGCAATTCTGAGATTTTCCGACACTGTGATCCAGACAAACCCCCCGCCCTTACAAGCTAGTATTAGCTCTGTGATAGAAGCCTCCATGCTCACCCCACACTCTGCAGTCCCAGTGAAAATATCTTTCCTTGCACCTGCTGTTTTCTTTTTACATCTAGTGGATAGGACAATAAAAATAGGGAACATTAATGCCGTGTATTTAAAATACTTGAGGTATGATAGTTAGGATGCTAGATAATGGAAGAAGTAGGCTATTGTGCTAGAAAGAGAATATGAGAGAGAGAGAGAGAGAGAGAGAGAGAGAGAGAGAGAGAGAGAGAG